TCAGCAGTGATGGTCTGTGGTTATTCTGTTCCAAGTAGGTCAGCTCTGTGTGGTTCATCTGCGTCTTGAGCAGTGGGGGAGGACCGAACGACCTAAATTGGGACAAAATGAGTTCTTACGGATGAAAATGCTTTTCTCAGTGGCCACACCCGTTGCAATTCAGCTGCATCTTGTGATGGTTTATTTCATTTCTGCAGGAGCTTTTCTCAGCCACAGGCGGGTCCTGTGGGGGGCAGCACAGGGCAGTCCTGGTACTGCAGGAGAGGGGAGTGGGCGGGGTGAAGCTTGAGTGAGGGCTTGCCCAGCGCAGGCCCTGGGCGGCCCAGGTGGGCACACCTCGCATCCAAACCCAAACCTGCGTACCTGCTGCCCTGGAATGAGCTGCACAGGTGTGCCCTCTGAGCCAGTGTCTCCTCGTGGGTACACGGGTGTGAGAAGACCTGCCTTGAGAGTAAATGAGGTGATGATCGTGCAGTGGCTGGCTTGTCACAGATGTGTCGTGCACCGTTGCTTTAGTACCCATCACTTTATATATAAAGTTTACCGAGAGCCCCAAGTCATGGTGCGTCAGTGCTGTTCTGAGATGGTGTGCCGGATTTAAAATAAATTGAGGTAGTTATTTAGACATATGTTAGACTTTATGGATCTTTATAGATCTTTATCTGCATGTGTGAAAATAATAAAAGCTCGGTGTTTAAGAAGCACAGAACATTGCAGCAGGCGATTCTCAGCTGAGTGCTTTGCGGAGATTAGAAGGAAGCCTGGCGCCACCTGCTGGCCGCCATCAGAGTCCTGTGCGCTCCCTGTCCCTGGGTGGCCCAGGTGAGCCTCCCTCCACGCAAACCCTTCCTCCCTGAGTCCTGTCACTGCACACACCCCGGGTCCCTGTCATCACAAATGTCGTCCTGCACTGGCAGTCATTTTGCTTCCGGAATTCAGGGTTTTCCAGCAGTCATTAGGGTTCCTTAAGTTCCCAGATTGATTATGGCTTCCAGATCCAGGCCACTGGGTCTGTCCTCCCAGTCCCCTTCCCGTCCTGGCCAGCGCTTCAGACCAGCGCCTGGCCGGGTCGTGCCGACTGCTCCAGGGCCTGGCCGGCCTGCGTTACTGTTGGGGTGTCCCGGGAGAATGGTTGGGCTTGGTGGTTCTCATTTGCCTTTGCAGGTGGATTGAAGAATTCATCAAGGAATTTATCCATTTCTTTCTCAAAACGTGAACGTCTTCTTCCCCTGCTCACAGTGTCACGCAGGCTGTCTCAGGAGACTCGCTCCTTCCACAGCTGTTTGGTCGTCTTATGTTTTCCCGGAACCTTACGGCATCCGTGTCTTCATTTTGCTCATTTCATTTTGTTTTGTTTAGACGTTTTCATTATGAAAAATACATAGAATAGAATGATCCGCACCCATGTGCCTCTCATGTAGATTCAGTAGCCCTGACATTCTGACACATTTGCTTCATCTATAGTGACGTAGTTTTATGAAATATTGCATCACCTCAAAAAAAAAAAAATGTTCCTACATAGCCATAAAATTATTGTTGCACCCAACAGACCTGTCATTCCCCAAAAGAGCATCTAAAACCCAGTCTGCATTCTTATTGTCTCAGCAATGTTATTTTTAAAAAATCAGGATCCAGAACACACTGTATGTTTTTTATTATTCTTTTTGTCTCTTTAACCTCTTTGAATGTGGAACAGCCCCCCTTCCCCCACCTTCGTTCCAGAACATTGACTTTCTGGAGAGGTGAGGTTGCTTGTCCTGTACAGCGTTCCCTCTGTGTTTGTCTGATTGCTTCCTTGTGGTGTCATTTAACTTATGGCACACACCCCCACCCCCCTGTATTTCTGTTAGATCTAAAGGCCTGATCAGATTTGGGTTGAAGAGATTGCTTCTCCCTCACCCCTACGTAGGTGATGCTGTGCCCTTTACCTTATGTCCTGTCAGGATGCACTTAATGTCTCTGCATCCCATGATATGATGCTAAGGCTGGTTACTGGGCCAGGCAGACCCGCCCATTTTAAACCCTGGTTATTTGCATTTACCCTCAGATGTAGTCAGCACCTCCGTGCAGCTGAACTTTGCACAGAGGCCTGGCAGAACAGCAAGCTGCTTGTGCAGTGCTGTGGGCTCTGCGCTGCTTGGTGAGTTTCAGGGAGAGTGACTGGTGCAGACGCCAGTGGCCCCAGCCGGTGCCCCCAGCTTTGCGCAGGTGATCTTATTGGGGCGAGAACCCCCTCAAGGCGCGGCGCTCCGCCCACGTCCTTACCTGCAGGGCTCAGTAATGGCCGCTAACTCAGACAGCAGATTGTGCTAATGCACTGACTTTTTTTTTTTCCAATTCATAGTAATTTTAATTTCTTATGGGTGCGTTATTTTTTTAAAAGCTGTTGCTTGGCAAGCTGGTTAACCTGCCCTCTGATTAAGAATCGATTGTAGTATTATTAGTGAATGATAGTCTGTTTTTATGTTCTTTCTGTTTGTGTGAATTTGGGGTTTAGTAAACCTTACTTAAGAATACCACTAGAAACGTTAAAACAACCATCGTAGGCCTCTCAAAAAAGTAAAGAAAGAAAGAGCTTTGAGGAGATAAAATTGTGCAGAATGTCATTGGTCTCCTCAAGCTATGGACAGAAATAATGCATTTGTAATTTACTTACTGTGCTGGTGGGTTTTGTACAATATAGAAAATATTTGATACTTTCAAATAACATATGACAACTTAAAGTTATTGGGGTGTTTTCTTCTAAAATTGTTAATCTAAAGCTGCCTAGCTTATACCTATTTTTAGAATTGTTTGTTTTAGAACTTAATGGTATTTCTTGTTGGTCCTATGAGATATCATAAATAATGAACTGTAGACATGAATCAGACTGTTTAAGTCAGCATCGTTTTTGCAGATCAAAAAAAAAATTTCCTCAGAAAATTATATGTTGTCTATTTTATGTAGTTGCACTACATAAAATCAAGCAGTTCTCTGATAGTTAGTGACAGTTTAATTCTGACATAAACTATTTCATTGAGTACTTTCAAGAAATTATAAGATCGTGTTTCAGGAAAGGGAACATTTTCCTAATTTTATTTTTGCCTCCTGATCCATTTTAGAGAGTGTGTGGGAGGGTCCTTTAGTAACTGGTCAGGTTTCCTCCCTGGGTCCTGCCACAATTCAAAATCTGTTCCCCCAGCACCCATCCTTTTGTTTTTACTAGGAAAAAATGTTTTATTTCTCAGGTATTTGGTGGTTTTTTCTATTTTTATAAACATTCACATATGAGTCAGTAATCAGGAGGCAAGTATTTAGGACCTTTTGACACGTCTAGGGCTGTGCACGAGGCCAGAAATACTTTTCCTACTCCTCCTGCTTTCCTGAAGTTGCAACCTATTTGCAGCTTGTGACTCCCAGGCCTGGCTGTTGTGGGGAGATGAGGGGAGACTGGTAGTGTCGGGTGGTCCTGGAAATGGGGGGCCAGGGTGCTTTGGCTGTGGGAGCCCAGGCCTCTGCCTGGCCCACGTGGGCGGGGTCTGCTCACGTCTGGGTGTCCCTTCGCGCTCTCCTGATCCCAGAGCCAGGCCTGGGAGGAGTGTTCTAGGTGCGTTTTCTAGAAGCTGCCCTGGGTCATCCTTGGGAAGCTTGTGGTGGGGAAGCATAGATAAGTAAGGTGCCACTGATGACCAGTCCATCTTAATAACCCATTTAACTGTCTTATATCAGGAACAAAGGAAGCTAATATTAACTCAGCTAGTGTTTCAGATGCTAATTCATCTAGTCTGCAGCGAGAAAGTGCTGAGCCAGAGCCAGCAGTAAAGCAGAAAGGTGAGAAGGGGGCCCCTTGTCAACCACTCCTGTCCCGTGAGGGAGACCCGGCACCCCAGATGTGGTGCTGCTTGTGTGGATGCCTCTCATCCCAAGGCCATGGCTGCAACCACAGGTTCCCTGAGTCTTTGACACCCCCAGAGAGTCCAGTCCCTCGTTCTCCACACCATCAGGACCGAACGTGGCAGATGGCTCACTTTTGCCTTTTTACAGAAACTAGAAAGCGTCTTCTAGTCACTGCCTGATGGCAGCAGACTCTCCTGTGTCCCCAATGTTCCTTCTGAGATACTGTGGGAAAGCCCGCGGTGTCGGGACGACAGGAACAAGCCTCAGTTGCTGCTGGGGGTCCCAGAGGCCGAGCTGCGTCCCCCAGGTTTCAGGTCCAAAGAGGACTTTTAAGCAGCTCAGAGGGCTGTCACGACTGTGACTTTTGTGTCTGTGATGTTCTCTGAGTGTCTTAAGTCCTACCTCAGTGGGGTTCTGCTTTTGACATAATTTTTCTCAGCAGTAAAAAAAAAAAAAAGTCATGGTAAAGTCCACGTTCAGCATTTGCTTTTTAAGGCCCTGGAGCCCCTTCGAGCATGGAGGGTTGCACATGCCCCCTGCCATGTGAGTTGTGCGTGCCCCAGTGCCGGGCCTGGTGCAGGGTGTTGGGACCGGGGCAGCAGGGGCACGGCCAGGTGAGGGCCGACATTTGTCAGTTTGTTCCAGTAGAAAATGTTGGTTGAAGGCATGCTGTGTGCTAGGCCCTAAGGCAGTGAGTGCATGAGTGGGCAGAAGCCAGTAGGTGACCTAAGGGGTGCTGGGGGTGGTCTGGGGGGAGGGACTCTGCACTCTCTGGGGGAGGGTCAGGGAGAGCCTTTGGCGGGGGCAGGGGTGAGAGCTGGGGCCAGTGGCCTCGTCAGGGAGCTTCGCAGCAGGAAGCCGATGGCATTTTTACGATGAGTGGCTGAGCCCTACTCAGATGGCCTCCACGTGGGCAGCACAGCGCGTGGTCCAGAGGCGACAGCGGCCTGGGCTGTGGAGTGGCGGGGAGCGGGGGGCGGCAGAGTCTCGAGGCGCGCAGACGCCTGAGGGCAGGCTCCCGAGCTCAGAGCGGGGCGGGGGGGCAGCTGGCTGTGAGGGTGTGCTCACCTGGGACGAGGGACGAGGGGGACAGAGCGCCTGCACGTCCGGGCCGCCTTGGCCCCGGGATCTGGGGAGGAGGTGGAGCCGCAGAGGACCTGGGCATCCCCAAGGACGGGGCGCTCAGGGGCTGGCCCGATCTGTGGGCGGGGCTGCCATGTGCCCTCACCACCTGGACGTCAGCTCGTGACTCAGCCACGTTTCCGGGACCCACGGCCTGTCCCCAGCGACGCCGAGGGCATGGGCTTTGGATAGAGCCTGGGGATGTGGCGTCGGGGCCCCGGGGGCCCAGCGGCTCTCACGCTGGTCTCTTTCCCGCGCACCAGGCGACAGGGCAGCGAGGAGGGCGGCTGCGGCCGCTGCGCGTCCTCCTGGGCAGCCCCCGTCACCCCGTCTTCCAGAGGCTCCGTCTGGAGCCACGCTTCCCAAGCCTGTCCTCGCCTTGTCCCTCTGTGGGGCGGGACCTCCGGGAGGCACTGTGTCCCACGCAGATGGGGTCCTGGAGGGCTCCCAGGTCCCCCCGATGCCCTAAGCCAGGGGCCCCCCACCCCTAGAGCTGCCCTCTTTGGGGCAGCGTTTCTGTGGCTCTGACCATGGCGTCCACAGGCCACCCAAAGCGCTCGAGGTCCCCCCCGCCGGTGCACAGTTCCGGGGTCTGAGGGGCGCTTGTCTGTCGCGTCTGTGTGTCCTGAGGGTAAGCTGGGCCCATCCCCGGGGGGCGTCTGTCCAGGCCCTCACCTGAATCCAGGGAGTTTTGGGTCTTCTGCACACGTGTTCATGCATTTTAGGGGTGTGACACAGAGGCCTTCCCGGGTCCGCCCACCCCTGCAGCGCTTCCCTTGTTGACAGGCCGCGTCGGTCACGTTTGTCCCCATAAAGCGGCACTTGAAGAGAAAGGGTCCTGGGTGAAGAGTGCCAAGGCAGGCCCGTGTGGGGCAGAGACACTTTCTTCTTATTTAGGAGCCGATGGAGAAACACTCGCTGCTGAGTTATGTAAGACGGGCTCTTGTTTGCTTCCATCCAGAGCCTGGAAAATGCCCCAAGGTGTGTTCGCCAGTTCAGCCCTGGCTCGTCACACACATGGAGTCGGTCGGTCCATCCGTGGCTTCGAGGCTCTGTCACCTTCTCCCTCTTCGGTTTCTTTCATTCATCTCTTTGATGGATACACTTTCTTCTCATCGCTGCTTCCTGTTTCCATGTAATAACACGTTCTGATTCATAGTTTTGTTTGTTCTTTGTCTTTCTCTCTTTGAAAATAAAGCAGTGGCAGTAGGAAACTAGAAAAAAGGCTATGAGGAAATGACCATTTTTTTCCCCAGTAGACCTCCAAAATTATTAATTATGTATTTCTCTCTAATCCTGTTCTGCTCATTTAATATACTGAGGTTTCCTAACACAGAAGTTGATTTTCTGATGTACCTTTTTTTGTTTTTTAGGTGATTCTCCTAGTGATGCAGGTAAGGAATAGCCTTAAGTAAATCTGTTTGGTGTAAATTGTGTACGTGTGTATAGTTATTAACATGTACTCTCAGATTTATGTTTTACAAATTGTATTAGTGGAAGTAACTTAAGGAAACATAACTACACCAAGTTAAGATTTAATTTTCATATTTTATGAAAATATGTTTCAAAAGAATACATTTCAGAATTTCTTCCTGAGTGTAAACTGTATTTCCAATAATCAAGTTCTGATTTTACTATTTTCTAACGTATAAAGTCCTATTACTTTAAATAGTAAGAGTAAATTTAATTGTCTTAATATTATAGCTTGGGCTTATTATTTACTGTTTAAATATTTATCAAAATGAACAAAACTTTATTCAGATTATAAAAACAATATGGTACAGAGCCAAAGTGAAAAACCTTAAAAATGCAGAAAACTATGGAGAAGAAAATGAAAAGCACCGGCAGTGCCCCTGCTCGTAACTTGAATGGGTGTCCTTCTAGAGCCCGCCTGTGTGTGTAATGGTCAGATATGCTACCCTACTCTACTAATGATACATACATTAACATGACGGCTGGTTTATACGAGGGTCTCACAAACCGCAGTTCCCTGAAGTTTCCTAGTGTCTGTCACTGTTGTAAATGCTGATGGGTGAGCGTCTTGACATGAGGTTACACGTGTCCGCTTCTTTCCTTAGCTTGTATTTCCTTTAAGTTAAATTGCTGACTTGATTGACCTACCTTTTGAATCCTGTTTCTGGAGAAGTTAAACCAGTTTGTATTCCCAGGGCTTGAGTGTGCCCGTTTCCCCAAATCTCCCCCCAAATTTAGATATCAAGTGTCTGTTTGAACTTCATCAAAATGATAGATGAAAAAAAGCTCATTTATATTTGCAGTTGTTTGATTGCTGTCTCTTCACATATTTACTAGTTGTTTCTTTCTTTCTTTGTGAACTGCTGGCTGGCTTGCTGTCTGTGCAGAAGGAGACGTTGGCCCTTCTGGCCACGAGAAGTGTGAGGTGCTGGAGAATTCCGAGCTGCCAGGCGAGCTCCCAGCCCCCGTCAGGTTCGTGTGCTCTGGCTCCCACCCGGGCAGCTGCCCTGCTCCTCTCTGTAGCTTCTGCAGCTCACTTAATGCTGAGCTTAACTGTGAGGAAGAGTATGTGTACAAAGAAAGCAAAAACTGTTTAGTTGTCTGGTACCTGAGGTGTAACTAACTCACGTAGAATGTTTTAGAGATTTAGGGAAATTGGTACTTAAGGCTAAATTATGTCATGGTTTGATTCCTGATAGTTAGGTTACTACTTTTTGTACCTTAAAATTAATGAGAATGTAAGATTAAAAGATGGATACTTTTAGACTTGTCAGGTTGATGGAACGTTCTTAATATTCTGCAGGCTATGTCCTAACTGGCATATTGATGGTGGCCTGGAAATTAGCATTAACATTAATGTGGGTTTTCATCTGTCCACTTTGAAACGTGCAAGTGTTTTGTATCCCTTTTTAGGAGGATACCTCGGCCCGGGAGCGCACGGCCCGCACCTCCCCGGGTCAGGCGGCCAGAGAGTGCGGAGGTGCCGATGACGGACAGGTGAGGCCCTGGAATCTGCGTTGGCTCCGAGGGGCAGGGCTTCCTTGGCGCTGGTGGGACAGGGATGGGCGAGGATGGTGTGTGTGCTGAGAGACGGGGGTGGAGCGGGCAGCAGACGGAGCAGGGAGCACTTGCTGTTGAGTAAAAGAGAACCCGGGGTGGAGCGTGACCTCAAACCTCGTGCGTGCCACACACTTCAGATAGAAGTGAGGGAAAACACAGGTGTTCGTGCTCGTACAGTTATGTCTTTACAGTTACGGGGAAAGTGGATTGCCCCCATCTCTACATAGAGGATTTTCTAAGCATAAAAACAATTAGGGGGAAAATAGGATAAAAAAATTTAAAGGCTTAATTGCACAAAAATTAAAAAACAAAAGGTGGTGAGAAAGTCATCAGCAGTATAAAGACAAGCCTCAGGCAGGGCTTTTATAAATTTTACAAATCTACCTGTGGATCCAGTACAGAAAATCAAAACAAAAAACTAGGAAGATGAAAACAGACTGGTCGGAGTGGGCTTCAGATGGAACTGGAGGCGGCGTAGATGTGTTTTACGTATGGTTGCCAGGGGAAACGGAGGGATGCGCAATGTCAAGGGAAGTTAGGGGTCTCTGTTTTTAAGATGAGCCGGCCAGCACATTTTTCTGGTGACGGGGATGGTCCAGTGGAGAGGGGGAGACTGGAGATGCCGGCGTTGCGGGGTGGGGAGAGGGGACTGTGGGAACAGAGCCCCTGGGTGGTCCAGGACATGTGGAGGGAATGGCCTTAGCGAAGGCCGGGGGGCTGGCGGGCGGGTGACATCCCAGGAGGTGAGACCCCGGCTCTTCATCTTTCTCCTGAGCCAATAGTGAGTCTGGGCGAGGAGGGGCAGGGCTCAGAGGAGAGAGGAGGTGGTGGATAGTGTCCTCCACGAGAGGGGCTGGTGAACGGGCGAGGGCAGAGGTCCTCACCCGGGGGCCGCCCCAGCCCGGGGCCCCGTCTGGGGGCCTTTTGTAGCACCATGATTGGGGAGGAGGTGCAGAGGAGGCCCTTGGCCTCTAGTTGGGGCTTGGAGCCAAAGATGCTGCTGCACATCCTGTGGGGGACAGGCAGCCCCACCCCAGAGGTCTGTGGCGTGCCTCCTGGGGCACGTGGGGTGGAGTGATGGCTCAGCATCACGTGGACTTTGTTCTCCAGCCGGAGCTGGGAAGATGGGTGGGGGAGGCCACAGAGTGGGTGCTTGGATCCACGGTTAAGCATTTGCTGTCAGTGGCAGTGACAAGGCATCACCCTGGGAGTGTGGCCAAGAGACGGATGCGGGAGAATCCGGGGACCCTAGAGCCCAGGGACTGGGAAGGATCATTTCTCAGCCCTTGAAATCCTCAAGAGTGAAGCCAGGAGCCTGGAGTGCAGGGGTGAGGCCCGGGATTGGCAGATGGTGGCACTCATAATGGGGTTCAGGGCGAGACTCTGATTCTCGGGGAGTCTCTGACAATTGAGATTCAGAGTTGGGGGATTTTAGGGAGAAAGATCTGGAAGCCTCCATAAGCCCAAGGAAAACCTCGACCTTCCTTGGGACCTGGCGGTTGGAGGCCAGAAGGAGGAAGGCCTCGCAGGGCAGGCATGTGGCGGCAGCATTCGGGGACGAGGGTGAGGATGGAGAGGGTTTGCTGAGGGGAAGGATGTGGGGGAGGGTTTCGGGAGCTGGAAGCGGTGGGATGTAGGCTGGACGGGGTGTACAGAGGGCGTGGAAGACCAAGGACGAGACAAGGTCGGTCCTGGTGGGGCAGGACGGGCAGCTGGGAGTGTCTGAGGGCCCTGGGGTTGGAGCCGAAGGTGTTAGTGGGAAGCGAGTGTTGTGTTGAGAGCTCACACCCAAGTGCAGGGACTGCTTCTGGACCTCCCATCCCGCTAAAGGGTGTGTGGACACGCGTGTGTACGTGTGCTGGAGAGATAGTGGCAGGGGCTGAAGGGTATTTGTTGAAGCGCGACTGTGTCAGGTCGGTAGGGAAGAAATGAGGGCAGGAGGGGCTGGTGGGGAGCCATGGAGTGTTTGGGTCTGGGGGCTGTGGTCCAAGTGCAGGCGCAGCAGAAGTCAGTGCCTGAGCAGCAGGCACTGGTGGTGGTCTGCTGCGGGGTGACAGTAGGCGGGGCAGTTCCGGCAGTGGCCACTGGAGGCAGGAGAGAGCCCTTGGATGGAGGCGGTTACCAGGGAGACCAGGTCGGGAGCCCGTGGACATCGGGCTGGTCCAGAATGATGGCAGGCCCTCGGGGAGAGGCGCTGTGTAAGTGAGGGTGCTGGGCAGGGCCGTAGGTCAGGGACAGTGCCCAGCAGCCAAATGAGGGGCCTCGAGGAGGCTGCTGTGTTCCTGCGAGAGACCAAGGAGCCGGGGTCTGAGGTGGCGCTGGCCAGCAGGGCCACCAGTGAGTGCCACCCCTGCCCTGAGGTTTGCGACTTGGGAGACCGGGCCTCTCCTGGAGAGGGGCTGCAGGCCCAGGGCTGGTCCCGCAGCGAGCCCCGGCTGGGAGGAGGGCACGGTGCGGGGCGGGGCTGCACGGTGGGGCGGGGCCTGGCGGCTTTCCCCAGACTGCATGTTTGCAGACTGCGTCTCAGCTCCGGCCTCCTCTCAGGGAACCTCAGACACAGTTCCAGACGCTGGGATTGATGAGGACGTGTGACCTGGAGAATGTTTCTAATTTAATCTGATTTCTTTTCATTTAGGACAGGAAGCGGTAAAACCGTCTCAAATGTGATCGTAGAGTCACAGAATTCTGACAATGAGGACGCCGACCAGTTTGTGGTGGAGGCCGCCCCCCAGCTCTCTGAGATGTCAGAGCTTGAAATGGTTGGTCAGCCACAGCGTATGTTTAATAATCACACTCAAACAGCACTGGAATTAATTCTCCAACTTAGAGATTTGTGTAGACGGAATTTTCCTCCAGCGTTTCAGTTAGTTCTCTGCCATCTTCAGTTTTGTCACCTCTGCTGAGATGCGTGCAAGCATGAGTTTGAGATTCCAGCAAATCTGAATTTCCTTTTCTTCTCCTTCCTTTCCTGCTCAGGTACAAGTGGTGGAATTAGAAGATGAGAAGCACGGTGAGTCGTGGGGTTGTGTGTGCACACGTGTGTCTGCTCCGTGTGTTGTGAAAGGATCTGGTGAAATGAGCTTTGTCTGCCAGGGTTTGGTCAGGGGTCTGAGTAGCAGTAGATGGGATGCCGTGGGCACGGATACCTCCTCCGTGTGTGGGTTATTCTGGGAGGTGATGGAAGCTGCTGGGGGGCGGGGGGTGGCCAGGACCCCAGAGGGCAGCCGTAGGCAGTTGTGGGGATGACATCACTTCTTTTCTGCACAGTTAGACTGTGGAATTGGATGACCCTTGAAGTCCTTCCCAGGTCGACAGTTCTGTCATATTGTTTTCTTCCCAAGCACAATGTCTTCTTTGATTTCAAACATTTATAGAAGCAGAGAGAATAGTCTCGTGAGCCCCTGACTGTCGTGCAGCTTTTGCGGTGAGCGGTCATCTGGTCTGATCTTAGTCTCCACCGACTGCTTTCAAGTCCTGGAGAGCATCATTTTTGCCATAAACATGCTCTTTTTTAAAAAGCATAACCATAACTCCATTATTATATATAAAAAAAGCAGTCCTTCCTTAATATCATCAAATGCCTGTTTTTTTCCCCAGTTGTTTTGTGTGTTTTTTTTCTAGTTTGTATGAGTCAGAATCCAAATAAGGTCCCTGTGTTTGCGGCTTGTGGATCTAACTCTGAATCCGCTCTCAGCCTGTAGGTCCCCTACCACCCCATCCCCCTTGTAGTTTATTTGTTGAAGAGGCTGGTCGGTTGTTCGGCAGAGTTCCTCACCATTGGGTGTTGCTTGTCACACCCCAGTGTTGTGGGTTTCTTCAATGTTCTTCGGTTCCTGTAAATTGGTTCTAGAGACTTGGTCAGATTCAGGTTTTTCGGGCAAGAACACTTGACAAGTGGTGTTGGTTCTTCATCACACCTGTCCGTCTCTGTGCTTGGAGGTTGATCTCAGTCTGTTGTTTCATGAGGGTTGTGGGGACGGTGACCATTCTCGTCCCGCCCCCTCCCCGCTCCAGCACGTTTTGGTTGGCAATCTCCACACTGTGAGGCTTCCCCTCTGCAGGAATTTGCCGCTCCGAGGCCCAGCTTCGTACTTCCCCTTCATTGATCAGTTTCCTTAATAGTGCATTTGTCTCCTGGCACCTTCAGGGGTGACTAATGAGGGCTTTGGTGGTGGTGGTGGGTTTTTTTTTTTAAATTTTTATTGGAGTAGCTGATTTACAAAAATATGGAACGAATTTGCATGTCATCCTTGCACAAGTGTCATGCTTATCTTCTCTGTATCGTTCCAATTTTAGTATATGTGCTGCCGAAGCAAGCGCTTGATGTCTGTATGCTGGCATGGTTTTTAACACACTTGACGTGTTCCATTTCAGTCCATCTCAGTTTTCTCCTTGATGTTCTGTTGTCCAGTGTTTGACCGTGGGGGCCTTTTGACACGTCCCAGTGGACTTTGTAGCTTCCTTGTTTATAGTAGGACAGATGTTTCAGACTCATTTTGTGTATTTCCTGTCCCGTGTCTCTAAGGAGCCTGGCTGCAACTTGCTTCTGGGTTGGTCATTGTTTCTGGGGGTTTTCTAATTTTTTCTGTAGGAAAGTATATCCTGAGTTTGTACTGGTATTTCCAACTTAGATTTATGATTGCAGGGTTCTTCCTAAGTTCTTTGATTTTTGCAGGTACGTTAGTTCCTGTCTCGTGCCCCAGTCCTGGCTCCCAGCAGCAGTAGCTGTTGGTGTCTTTACCCTACATTGTGCACTCACAGCAATTTAGAGCAACGCCACTGGTGGTTAACAACAACGTGATTACTGGAAACACCTTAGGGTCGTTTTTGGCAGATCTGCTTGCCTTTTTGTTCTTAGTGCATATCCCATTAGGGATGTACAGCCAATTCTTCTCTGTTCGGTTATGCTTGCCAACATGATACTGTTATGTTTATTTTTTATTTATTTATAAAAAATTAAGAAACAAAAGCAAAAAACCAAAATGAAAAAGTCACCATCACTTCTGTCCTCAAGGAGCAATTAGAAGGGACTCTTTTCATGATATTTGCTTCATGGTCCCTCAGAACTGGAAAAAGGGAGGCATTTGCTCCTGTGGGTTTTCTCTGATGTACCTCCAGAGTCTTAGGGCTCTGGTTGCAAGGCATGATGGGAGAAGGTGGACGTGAATGATAAGTGTGTTTGGCCTGCATAGCTGTAACGGGGGGTGGGGCGGGAACAGGGTCAAGGGGAAGGAGGTGGGTCTGATTTCGGGGTTTCAGATGAACCTCTTCTTCCTCGGGTCTCAGTCCTGCAGAGCATGGATTGTGACACTGCTCCAGCTTGTGATTCAGTGGATACACGATTTCAGATATGAGCTAACAGTTCATGATGCTTCAAGATTTCGATACTGTTACATTTATAGTTTCATTTTGCTTTCAAGTTTTAGGCTATGAAATTTTTAATTTTTGTTTTATCTATGTAAAATATTCCCTTATGTAAAATATTCACATAGTTCCAAGGTCAAATGTACCAAACAAGATATATTCAAATGGTTTTTCATATGATATTTATCCCACGAGTAATTCTTTTTAAAAAAAAAAAGTTGATGACTTATCCCAGCATAAAAACAGTGTTCGCACTTAGCCTACAACAGGCTGAGAGAGTTGCTTTGACCTTTTATCATACAGTGATTATCTGAAGCCGTTTCAGTATAGAGAGAGAAAGGGTAAGAACTAAGTCTCCCTCCTCGCCCCCAGCCCCCCACCCCTTTAGAACAGGATAGCTTCTTAGGGCAGAGAATCACTTTAACATAAAACCACTGGTTTTCAACAGGAGGACTTGTCAAAAAAATTTTGGAGACTAAGAAAGATTATGAGAAGTTGCAGCAGTCACCCAAACCTGGAGAGAAGGTAACAAAATGATTTTTGTAAACAGTGGCATTTTAGCAGTCTGTTTCACACATTTACATTTAAAAATTAGAAGCATCTTTCAAATGTTGTGATTATCAGTAATGTCTGTTTATATGTTTACAAGCCTCTTCCCATCTCCCCCACCCTCCAGTTGGGAGGATAGAAGATTTGGGGCTTTTGGGGTGCGACGTTGCTTCCCTGGACCCACATCCAGTCCTGTCCTGGGTGGGGCAGTGGCCTTGCTTGGGAGCTCAGGAGTCAGGGTCCAAGGCCTGTCCTGCTCTGACCCCCTGTTGACCCCTTCCTGCCTGGTGCATCCCTTCTCCCTGCGCAGAGTGGACAGGCTGTCCGCATGGCCCTGGCTGATGACAAAGTAAGAGTCGGGGGAAGTTTTCAGGGCTGGCTTTTAAATACACGTGCTATTTGTATGTGGCCTCCAGCCGTCTGCCTTACAGGTGTGTGATGTGGCTTTGTTGGAACCCACGGCCTCCTACCAGCCACTGCCCTTGGGCACGTGACCTGGGGTGAATACCTGCAGGCCAGGTAGTGTGCCTCAAATGCCACGGTGAGGTTTCCGTTATCGCGCCTTAAAAAAAGAAGAATAAATCTTCATTTTGGGTTTTTTTTTGTTTGTTTGTTTTGGCGGTACGTGGGCCTCTCACTGTTGTGGCCTCTCCCGTCGCGGAGCACAGGCTCCGGACACGCAGGCTCAGCGGCCATGGCTCACGGGCCCAGCCGCTCTGCGGCATGTGGGATCTTCCCGGACCGGGGCACGAACCCGCGTCCCCTGCATCGGCAGGCGGACTCCCAACCACTGCGCCACCAGGGAAGCCCTATTTTGGGTTTTTTTTAACAGAAGTTTCTTGGTTAGTTAGCTTTATCAGCAGCCAGCAGTTCCAGTAAGTTTTACATACACACTCCCACAGACACTTTTCTTTCCTTCCAGTTGAATGAACGGTTATTTGTTTTAGATAATTTTGCTTAAAATGTCCTGGTTTGGCATGCAGATACGTCCTGCACGATTAATAGCGACTGAGGAGACCTGCATGGTAGAGCCCACCGTTAGAGGGAGCCCTTTACAGCAGTAACGGGAGAGTAGCGTAGCCTGAGTTCTGCCGGCAACACCACCGCCAGCTCTTCTGAAAGGAGCAAAACTTTCTGCGGTTTATTGTCTATTGCTGTGGAATTTTAATATGTCATAGCCCTTTTCATAGGCCTGAGGACTTGTCCCGGTGTCCCTGGCAGTGTTTCTGCAACCCTGTCAGAAACCTCCAATGTGGGCCTCGGGCTGTTACCGTAGTAGGTAAGCTTTGAAGCTTCAGTTGGTTTAAATTTTATAGCTGTGTTTTTCTGCAAAGCACACTAGGCCTGTGTTTCAGTTTCCTCTGAAGAGTAAATTTCAGATTAGCAGATCTTCTGACTTCAGAAGATAAAAGGGAAACAGCTCCCTTGTTGGGTGAGCACCGGCTGCTTTAAAGAAGTGCAGCCTGTGAGTGCCCTACAGTCGGGGTGGTGTATTACGGTTGGGCGGGAAAAGCCAGCAAGTTTCTCTGCTTTCTTTTCTTTGGTATGTTATAGACATCAGATTTAAATTTAACTTGTGGGTCTTATAAAAACGTTTTAATTAGATTTTCAAAAATAAGTTAAAATGTGTAGGAAAAGTTGAAGTCCTTTCTGTCCTCGTTCTAATCCTGTTCTCACGAGGGCAAAACCACTAAGATGGATTTGGTGTGCTCCTTACTTTTACGTGTGTCTGCATTGCTTTGTGAGTTTGTAACTTTATCCTGTTGTTGATTTGTTGTGCAAGTTGCTTTCTTCAGACGTCGTGATGTTTCTGAGACCCTGCCTGTTCTGATACCAGTAGATCTAGTTTATTCATTTTAATTGATGAGTGGTATTCCAGTGTTTGTCAGTAATCAATTCCTTTGCTGATGGACATTTAGGATTCTTCAACCTTTTGCTGTTGGTGAACAGTGCTTCCACGGGCTCCTTTGCGTGTGCCCTGGCACACAAGAGCCAGTGTCTCTCTCCAGCAGTAGTCGGGGAATGTCTTCTGTAAAAGGCCAGATAGTAAATATTTAAGGCTTCAGAGCCATACAGTGTCCATTGTAACGTCTCATCTCTGCTGACGAGCTTGCAAACAGCTATAGCATAGATACCAGTAAACAGATGTGTGGCCGCATTCCAATGAGACTGTATTCACAACAGCAGAACCAGGCCTGGGCCTGTGGTTTGCGACCCCCGTACTTTAGAGGCCGTGCCAGACCTGGAATTGCTCTGGCAGAGCGCGGGCAGAGCTGCAGTTTCACCAGGTGCTGTCAAAGGCTGTACCAATTTGTTCTCCGAATGGAATGAAAGTCTCACATTGCCACACATCCGTGCAACCACAGCCAAGATAACGAACGTGCCCACTGCCCTCAGAAGTGGCCCTTGGACATCCCTCCCACCCACTTCTCTCCATGTTCCCCCCTCCCCCCAATCCCCAGCAGCCGCTCATCTGCCTTCTGTCACTTTAGTTTGCATTCCTAGAACTGTATATTAATGGACTCAGTTGATATATACTTTTTATTGGGTCTGGCTCCTTTTATCCATCCTGATTGTTTTTGAGAGATCTCCACGTTGCATCATGTATCAACAGTTCACTTTTTCTTTTACCGCTGAGTAGTAAGTAGTTGGCAGTGTGGGTGTACCGCCGTGCGCTTACCCATGTATCAGCCAAGGAACATCTGGGTTGTTTCCAGTTTGGGACTGTTGCAGACAAAGCTGCTGTGAACAAGTCTTTGTGTGGATTAATACTTTCATCCCATTGGGTAAGTACTTAGGAGTGGGACTGCTGGGTCGTGTGGTAAATGTGTGTTCACCTTTTTAAAACACTGCCAGACTGTCTTCCAGGGTGGCTGCAGCACCTTCCATTCCAGCCAGCACTTGAGTTCCAGTTCCTCCACACCCTCATCAACACTTGGTATGGCCAGTCTTTTTAATTTCCTGTGGTTTTGATTTGCATTTTCTTAGTTGCTAATGATGTTGAACGTCTTTTCTGTGCTTATTTTTCCATTCTAATATCTTCTTTGGTAAAGTGTCCAAATTTTTTTGCCCCTTTTAAAATTAAGCTGGTTGTTTTCTTCCTGTTGAGTTCTGAGAATTCTTCTTATATTCTGGATATGAGACCCTTATCAGACATGATGTGCAAATATTTTCATCCAGTCTGTGGCTTGTCTTTTCCTTCTCTTAACAGCGTCTTTCAAAGAGCAGAAGTTTAAAATTTTAAAGCAGTCAAATGTAGCAGTTTTCTCTTTTTCTTGGTTTTGCTTTTGGTGTTGTGTCTAAGAAGTCTTGCCTAACCCTCAGTCATAGAGGTTTCTTCATATATTTTCTAGAGGTTTCATAGTTTTAGGTTTTATATTTTGAGTTAGTTTTTGTATAGAATGCGAGGTATATTGAAGTTTATTTGTTTTTGCGTATGGTATCCAAATGTTCCAGCATCATTTGTTAAATTGTCACCCTTCACAAATTTTTTGCCCAATCTGAAGGACGTATGATTGTATCTTCTTGTTTCTTTAATTTAATATTAATAGCAACACACATTTGTTGCCTCCCTCTGTGCTAGGGGCTTTGTATTGATTGCTCTGGCCTCATATCAACTGTCTGGTGTCAGTTCAGTCACAGTCCTATATGTAGAACTCCTGATGCCAGAAGTATTTGGATTTAGAAATGCGATGTGGTACATATACTGTATATCCTCTAATCCCTACTGAGGTCAGAGGTAATCAAATGCGTGAACGGTTCCACAACAGCATGGATTAAGAGTCCCACGAAGCGGGTGGGCAGAATGCTAAAAATAACCTCACATGAGTTTTGGTGCCAAGTTTATGAAAAATCTTTCCATTTTCAGCGCTTGTGGCTTTTGGAATTGACACTGTGGTTTCTTCTCATGTGTTGCCTGTTCACATCTTTGCCCATTTTCTTTAGTGGTCTTTTTCCTTTTGTTATTGGTGTGTGTGTGTGTGTGTGTGTGTGTGTGTGTAAAATGGTTGCATATGTCATATATCCTATAATAATAAATATCATATATGGTATATGTTATGGTTGCATATATTACACGTGTCATGGAATAATCCCTTGTGTCTCATGCTGTAAACATCTTCCCAGTCCGTTACTTGTCTAACTTAATGTCTTTTTATATACAGAACTTTTCTATTTTGATATAAAATTGAATCAGCCTTTATTCTTTATAAGTTGTTTTGCTCTTGCCTTAAAAACTGTCCTATCCTGGTAATAGAGATGGTCTCAATAGTTTTCTTAAAATAGTTTTTCTTTTTTACATCTAGGTTTTTGTTTATGCCGTGGGTAGGGATCTGCTTGTTTTCTCCTTGTAAGTGGTGCCGCCCTCTAGTGAACCCAGATCCCTCGTGTGTGGGTGTATTTCTGGGCTCTGCTGTGGTCCTCCTGTTTTAAGTCCTATGTTTTTATGTCTGGGAAAGACGTTCTAATTGTTCCCCTCCACTCCTCCCACACCCCAGGTTGTCTTGGCTATTATTCTTAAATCTTTCTGGCTTTATATGAATTTTAGAATCAGTTTGTGTGGCTCCATTAGAAACCCTATTGTGATGTTGATTGGAATTGTTTTCGTCCTTGATTTTGCTGTGGCTGCTCACCCTTACTCCATTGCCTTGCCTCCCTACATAGCAGAGCTCCTCATTGGAACTAGATGTGCTCACCAGCTACATACAGTTCACCCCTTCCCATCCTCTTGTGAATGACTCTTCTGAGTTGCTCTTGTCAAGGTCACCTGCCTGCCTGGTTGTTAAATCCTCCCCGTGTGATTCTCAGTCCTCATCTTACTGGAATTAGCAGCAGCACCTGATGCACTTGGGCGCTCTTCCTTGATGTGCCTTCTCCCTTTGGCTCCCAGGACAGCAGCGTGCCTCTCTGGTGCCCCTGCTCGGTGCCGGTCACCCCTGCTCAGTGCCGGTCATCCCCTCTCGGTGCCAGTCACCCCT